TTGCATCATTTTATAAGTTTTGCTGTTTACAAAAATTCCATAAGAGGACCGCTATTTCGATGTGAAAAATACGAAGGTGGCAATTCAGTTTTGCTTCATTATTATAGCAATCAACATGGAACACATTTTATTGCTAAAGGTTAGCATTTAAATAATTAAAACCAAAGAATAACGACAATTTTAGTGATGCTAATAATTTTTAATATTAAAAAACTTTAATAAGCTTAAAGGCTTAAAAAAATAAGCTTAAAAAAAAACTATTTCAATTATATCAAGTAAGCCAACAAAATACTTATTCCATTACTTAGTTAAAATTATTTTCCAAAGTATTGCTATTTCTCGAGATTATTTTCCAAAGTATTGCTATTTCTCGAGACAGCAAGCGAGAATGGTCTTGCATTTACTAAATATCATTTGGCAGATATTCTCTGAATTAGTGATAAAATCACTATAAAGAATAAATTGTCAGATATCAACATACCACTTGGTGAGATTGTGGATAGCTCTTAACTTCAGATTATTAAAAAAAAAAAAAAAAAAAAAAAAAAAAATTGATTGAAAGATTTTAAAATTTACTTGAAAATTTAAAATCATTCCTTGAAAAGTATCTGATATTATAGGTGCAGCACGTAAAGTAGCAAAAAAATTCTTCAATATGGAAGTAAAAATTACACTTATTGATTTAAATAAATATGATAAGCAGTATGCAGATGACGTTTATCAGCAAGAATACGCTGTTTATAAAATTGAAGTTTGTTTGTCATTCAATTTTATTTTAATTGTAAATTTCATTTTTTTTTTTTTTAATTCTGTGATATGAAAAGTTGCAAATAATGTAACATTGGTCATTGTGAGGAACATTACATTTCCTTGAGTCTATCTTAGAGATTTTTTAAATTCAAATTTGCATCGTTCCCTGTTTTTTTCTTCTCATTTACAAATTTTGTGTTTTATTTGAAATATACTTAAATCATTCAGCAGTTATTCAAGTTTTTACTATTTTTCCAATGCTCTAAATATATTCCGGAATAAATAATCCAATGAAATCAAGAAAATTTTCAGGATTTAACACAATGTAGCTTATTATGGAGTGAATCTTTAAATGAAAATGTTGGTGGTATATTACAAGTAAACAAAGCAGATTTCATTTCCTTACAACCATTTCATTTCATAGCTGATCGAAACTGTAATTTAATACAATGCGGAAATGGTTTTTAGTAAGTTTTTTTTTTTTTTAATTTGATAAGCATTCTGTTCATTTTTCTTTCTTTACTTTTTTGTTTTTATTTCAGTCGACACATTTCAATGGAATTATTAGCACCTGGTACACCGTTGGAATGCATATTTGATATCATTTGGCCACTGATATCATTCAATTTTGATAACATATGTAATCTTATCAGTGCAATATTCATTCTACAATTTAAAGCAGTAATTCACAATGAAAATTTTAGCAATATTCGGTAATTTGTTTACATTTTATTAGAAATGCATCAAATGTTAATGAATTATAAAGACTTATATTGTTTTCATCTCAACATCTGATAGTAATATCAATGTTTTGTTTCTTTATCAATTTAATATCGAAATATTCGTTGATTGTATATTGAAAAGTAATTAGTTAATATTTGATAATATATTTCATCAGTTTTTTTTTTTAGAACTATTACAAATCAGGAACGAAAGTTAAAATTGAAAGGACAAATGATTGTTTTGGAACAGGAAAATTGTTTATTATACATTGGTTCACCAGATGTAAGTACTATTTCGGAATTAATTGAATATGGAATACGTCTGGATGAAATGCCAGTGCACGATTTCACTAGAGATGTTGTATTTCTTAATGAACAACGACTTTCCAGTATTGAGAAGAAGTAAGTAAAGTTATTTAATAAGATTAGAATAGTTTTAAATAGTTCTAGTAAATAATTTCATTCTTAGCTTGCAGCATGCAACTGCAAGTAACTAATGCTCAAATGGAGGAGCAAGAACAAAATATGAAATGTGAACGAGTTAGAACAGAAACATTATTGCATCAGTTATTACCAACATTTGTTACTTCACAACTTCTTAATGGCAAAATGGTTACTGCTTGTGAGTTTTATTAACTTTAACTTTTGTTTGAAAAAAAAAAAAATTTTTTTTTTTTTTTAATCCCAAATTTGAACTTAAATTTTAGCTAAGAAATAATTCTTTTTCTCTTTTCTTTCTTCTAATACATATCTAAAACTATCAATTTTTTTTTTTTTTTTGTTGCTCTTCTAATTAATTTCTTTTTTTCTGGGAAAAATTATTACTGCTATGAATTATGGATGAGTTAGCTGAGAATAAAATCATAAAAGTTAAAATTAATTAGCATTTTAATTTAAATATTACAAACGAATATTTATGTTGTCAAATTGCTAAATTTAGGTGAATATCAGGAAGTAACAATAATGTTCGGTGATGTACCAAATTTTTATAACATTGTTATGAGCTGCAAACCACAACAAATCATAAAATTATTGAACGAATTGTTTGTAAAGCTTGATCGTTTGATTGACAAACATTCCGTAAGATTTCCGGATTTGTTACTGTAACATAGCATTCTTGTTTATGATAAAAACTTGAATCAAATATCAAACTTTTAAAGGCATTTAAAGTGGAAACAATTGATGATACATATGTAGCAGTGGGAGGGATTCCGGAACAGACCGATAATCACTGTGAAATATTATGTGATGCAGCACTTGGTATGATTTTTGAAACACGGTCCATTATCGATCCGGTTACTGGAAAACCACTCCAAATTCGTCTTGGTATCAATTCTGGACCAGTTGTGGCTGGTGTAATTGGCAAGAAAATGCCTAGGTATACCATTTACTAAAAATTTTTTTGGAAAAAGAAAAAAAAAAACCAAAATCCCAAAAATGAAAATATCTAATTCTCTCTGTCACTCTCTCTCTCTCTCTCTCTCTTTCTCTCTTATAAATACCAAACAATTTTTCAAATTTAAAACATTTAATCTTTTTATTGGATCAAATTATTAGTAGTAATATATTTTAAGAAGAAAGTTTAATTAATAATCAAAAAACTCAAAGAAAAATTTTTCCCAGAATTTGTAAAAAAAATTTTCACTGGGCAGTTTGAAAATTTGATTTTGCAGATATTGTCTTTTTGGTGATACGATGAATACTGCATCACGTATGGGTAGTCATGGAGTACCCGGGAAAATTCATTGCAGCAAAGCTTCATTCGAGTTTGTCTCTTAAATTACTTCGAAAATTCCAAATGAAATTTGCTAATCTGTAGATGCTGAAAAGAATGGCAAATTAATTTGAAAATCAATAATATTTCAGAGAAATGATATCTAATTTTTAATAATATCTAATTTCCAAGATTTCTCATTAGAATGCAAAAAAAAGAAAAAAAAAAAATGGTAGTCAAATTTTTACAAATTTTTAGATGCGCTCAAAGAACGGGTAAATTTATTTTTGAATATCGCGGTATGACAAAGATTAAAAATAAGGGTGTAATGGAAACATATTTCCTGAAGTCAAGTGCTAAAAAATCAATTTGGGAAATTATTGGAATTGAAAGAAGTATTTCTTGAATTTTTTTTTAATTTATTCACTTAAGTAATCACATTAACGCAAATATTTTGCTCATTTATAATAATTTCTTTCCAATCTGCCATTATTAAATGAAGTAAATTCAATTTATAAATTAATAAGTTCAGCTAAAATTATTATAAATATAAAAACTTTGGAAATATAAAAAAAATTTTCCAGATATCAACAAACATTCCATTGATGGTTACGCTGAGCTGGAAGAAGGCCTGGAGCATAACGAAGTAAAAAATTGTCAAATTTGTGCAATTCTTTGACTTCATAAAATAGAAAGTTAATTTTTTTTTTCTTTTTTTTTTTGAATTTGATAAGAAATGCATGATGTTATTTCAAAACTTTTCAAAAATTTAAATTAAAAGGTAAAATATGAAGAATGCAAGAAAGTTAGAAGATAATATGTGTAAATGATTGATTTTTGCACAAAATATTCTTTTAAAAATTGCATTTATCACAATTACTACCATTGCTATTAACTGCAATGAATTATGTTAATAAAATCTATCATTTCAATATTTTTTTATTAATAGAAGAACAAAAATATTTCAGTTCAAAAAATTGCAAATATCTAAACACAAATGATCGAAGCAGTAAGCTTCAAATATCAATGTATCTAAAAAAGAAAACACAGGAGTAATTGACGAAGTGAGAAATTAGTCTAATTATAATTTATAAAAGATAACGGTTTGTTTTTATTCTCAGCAAGTTTTTCGAAAATTGTTCAATCAAATTTGCATCAATATTCAGCAGATATTAATAACAAAAACAATGATAGCAAATTACTTGAAAAGTACTTTCACATGAAAGAAGTAAGCAAATAAAATATGCAAATGCAACTGGGATTTAAAAAAATCTTTAAAAAGTTTCTTATAGTATTACTTTTACAATAATTGAAAATTTGTGGATCATGTATTTGTGCTATGAAACAATTTTATGGAAAATTATTGAAAACTCATTGCAATTACAAATTATATTAGAAAATACAAAAGTGAGCAGCGATAAATCTGCAAAACTAATTGCAAAAAATGCAAATGCATTTTGCCAAGGAAATTTTTTTTCAGATTCAAATTCCGATGTAATCATTCTACGAAGGATGTATTAAAATCGTATACCTGTTCTATAACACAAACATACTACCAAATTACAAAAAAGTTGTCTCAAAATACATCTCTATGAATTACTTTAATTATTTAATTAATTTCCACATTAATGTGTTTTGTTTGTATGAAAATATTTCCAATGATAATTAGTATTTGATTTGTGAAGAGTAGATATCTCTTCCAGTACCCTGTGTCAAAAAAATTCTTAGCTTAAACATAAGCAAAGAATAAAAAAAAAAAAAAAAAAAAAAAAAAAACAAAGCATAAAAGTATTATTCGGTAAGAATTAGAGAAGCTATAAATTATCAACAAAGAATTCAAACGGTTGACTCATTGCAATTCGAAAACTTTGTCGACTGGATGCCAAATCATGTGGCATTTCTTCTAAACGATTTGTTGCTACCATTCCAAAAGATGAACCTGCAGCTAATGATACTGATGTCCCTTTTTGAATATTAGATGAAAACGCAGTTGAATGAACAGCTGATGGCATAGGTACAGGTGGTAAAATTGCACGTCTGAAATATTGCACGATTATTTTAATTCTAATTTCAATTTTGCAGATTTAAATTCTAATTTCAATTTTGCAGATTTAAATTCTAATTTCAACTCTGCAAATTAAAAGAATTGCTGCAATCTCTTTCTTTCATAATTTTCTTCCCTTGCAAAGGCGATGATAAAGAGAGAGAGAGAGAGAGAGAGAGAGAGAAATTAAAAAAAAGTACCCCCGTCTCTGTTCGCTTCCACTTGAACCATCGTTACTACTCGTTTGACTGTGCACATCTGGACCACAACCGGTAGCTTCAGCACCTTTGTATGGTATAGCGACGTTGGTTGCAACGTATGGTTGTTGATTTGGATATAGTGTTAACGGCATTGATGCATAACCACTTACCTAAGTTTATCACATTTTAAGTATGTCATGTTAGTCTGAACAAAACTAAATTTGAATAGTAATAATGAAATATGTAATTGTAATCTAAAAAAATCTAATAATTTACCAAATTAAATAGTAATCATTTTTACAATTTATGAATTCAATTTATGAAAATAATCTGTTGTGAATTTTTGCTACAGCTACTTAATGGAAATATTCAAATGTTATTAAATATTTCGATTACAACTGATAAAATCTATAAATAAGCAGCTGTATTGATATTTTCCCAAATTAGACTAATTTGCTACAAATTGTCATCATAACTCATGCAAACAATTTAACCGGCGTTAACTGCAGCATGCAAATTTGTGCAAATAGTGAATTTTTTTTTTTTTTTTGAAGTAAAAGTGCAAAGCTTACATAATAAGATTGTACTTGTAATTTGTGGTTTTCTTATTGACATGTCTAAAATTTGACTTAGAAATTGATCATCCCACAATTGTTCTATTTTTTTTTTTTTTTTTTAACATTCCCTTTCAATAAAATGCTCGACCCCGGATGTTAAAGAAAAACTAATAAGATTGCTCGGAACTTACCAAGAATCAACTATTACATCATCTACTTTACTAATTTTGCTATTTTCTTGATCAGTATGTATAGGATTAAATTTCTCTTCTCTTTCTCATGTGTGAAACTTTGTGCTGTTCTTCTTTAATGAAGCAAAGCGCATGTGGCAGAATCTACTTTGACATACATTTATACTACTAACAAAAGTTACTATCAGCTTATGATAATAACAACATGCCATAGACATATCAAAGAACTGACATATCCCAATTGCAGAGAAAGCAAAAAAAAAGTAACGAATGAATTGAAAACAAAAAAAAAAAAAAAAAAAAAAAAAAAGAAAAGAAAAGAAAAGAAACAACTTGCATAACATATAATTTCCAAATAAGTGTATGGAATAAGCAGTGCACAAAATCAAATAATCATTTCTCCCCTAATGTGACAACTTTATTTTTTATCTTCGGTAATGTTATTTGCTGAGATATTGAATGTTTCTGGAATTAGAAGTCAGTAAGTTATTATTTACTTGGCTTACCCATCTTCTGCTTTTAAGAGAAATCTCAAATTGAGAAATTATCACTAATAACGAACTTTGCAGTGTTAAGCAATTTCATTTACAAATGAATTTTCAAAAGATGAAATAATCAATGAGATGAGCTTAACTCCATCATCATTTTATAAAAAGATATGGTAGCTTTTATTCTAATATTTTTGATATATAACCCTCTACATTTAAAAATATTTGTCAAATATTATAAAGCGCAAAAGCAAGTGTTATCCTATTTATTTGATATAGCATTTTTGAAATATTTAGTCTTGATAAAATTTGACACTAGCAAAAACTTCATCAACAAATGAATTAGGTAATATTAAGAGTGAGAAACGAGAGCTATTTCTACAATATTCTTTTATAGTCATATTCAACACACAATTCTATCACCATCTACATGCTACACTTAAATTACTGGACAGTCCTGCTGGATAAAAATTGAAAAAAAGCGCATTACTAAACAAGCCTATCTAACTTAACATGCTCTCTAGAAATTACATTTAAAAAAGGTATGTGCAATTGTTGTTGGAAACATGCGATTGTTATTTTTGTTATATTATTGATGAAATGAAAGAAGTGAATTAAAATCATATGAAGCATAAAAAATTACGATAAAATCTTGTTAGTTGATGAGAATTACCTAAAATACAGCATTAGAATTCATGCAAAAGTTCTATTTGATGCAATATTTAAAATCAAGAAAAATTAGATACAAAATAAAAAATGCATGAAGGACGAACTGCGAAAGAGTAGACTACAAGAAAAAAACCTTTGAAATCAAAAAACTCAATATAATCTACCCGTCTGAATGAAAGGCCTCACTATCCGCTTTATGGAACGAAATATAATTATAATTAATTTATCTATCGAGTCAAACCGTTTAAATCCAGCTTATTTGTAGTTAAATTTTGGCATAAAAGTTAGAATTTAGCCAACAAAAAGGAACCTACGAATACCGTCATGAAAGTAGTAAAAATTCATCTAAAAAATAAATCATATCAAAAAATCAAAAAATAAATCATAGTATGCTTCTACTATGTTGTCTTCTACAGTTATTACTAAATATAGTTGTCAATGCTCTGAACATATCCTTCAAATCATATGTGTTTTGATAATTTTTTGATTTGAATTATATATATTCTCAGAAGATTTTAGTTTTAATAAGGACTAAGCTGGTTTTTTTTCTGCAAAATAAAAAAAAATTTTTGATGCATTAGTAGCAGCTAGAAAAACATTCAGAATTGTGTAACTAGCAGCAAAAGCAAAAAGAAAAAAAAAACACAGACGGTGGTGTTAATTAAACAAACAAATCAGAGATTAATTGACTGATCATAAATATATTTGATACAAATATAAGTTTTTGCTGAACACGTCAAATCTAGAATTTTTGAGAGTTTCTGATCCCAAAACATTCTCATTGTTAAGAATAACGGGTCATGACATACAGACCGACCCACCAATCCATAACAATACTGTAAAAGATTTAGAGTAGGGAAATGATAGATGACAAATCTTATGAGAAATAACATTTCTGCGTAGTTGGATCTGTCTAATATAATGCAAGAATTCTTTCTGAAACGAATTCATTTTAAATAACGAAACGAAATTAAAGAGTTAGTGCAACTTGATTCATTCTCTCTACTGGTACTTTGAACTTCTGAAACCGCGAAAATCGCAAATGCGGGGAGATAATCATTTCAAAATAGCATAAATATGTAACTAAAAGCAGACTTCTAAAGAATATACAAATTAAAAAGGAACGCTTAGAAAAAAATAATGATAAAAACAACAACATATTACGGTCGCAAGACTATTCTAAAGATTAGTTAAATAGAATCGCGTGGTACCATCAGCATTCGCTGGATTTTCAATACCGCTTACCATTGAAGGTGCACTCTGCGGTATCATCGTTGGCTGAGGCCAAGCACGTCCACTTTGCTGTGCTGCAGCAGCAGCAACAAGTCCTGGTGGTGGTGGTGGCAATACTGAACCCACTTCACTTCGAACACCCGGATCATCGCCGCCAGGATTCTGCCGCAAGCGTGCATAATCTTAAATTGAGTATAATTTTTCAGAATAAAGAAGCGAAGGATGAGAAATCTTATGGAGATAATGGAAGAAATGAAAAGAGAAAAAAAAAAAAAACAAAATTCTAAATCATTGATAATTTCAACAGTTCGTAAAATTTTTCGGTTCAAAACAAGTTTAAGAAATGGTTAAAAACTTAGCTATATTTTACTTCATTCAAACAAGATAAAGTTTATCCAATTTTCTAAAAACAAACCAGCACATTCTTCACCCAGAATATAGTAACATTGTTCAGTGAAAGTAATTTTATTGACCACATGACTGATTAACTTCTCTTTCAACAACTCGCCAGCAAATTTGCGTCCATCCTTTCGATCACGGAGCCCATCAACATGTTCCATCAGCCAATCAACCAAATCACTGCCTAAAAATAATAAAACATTGCAAGGAATTTTTAAGACACCGGAATTTTCAAGATAAAAACATTCTTTACTTAAATATCAATTAGTTTACTTAAATATTCTACTTAAATTTAATTTTAATATTAACAATGTTGACTTTTGACAGAGAGAAAAATAATTTCAGCTGCTAATTTCATTTCAGATTTCAATGCATTACAATTCAAATGCCCAGAGAAAAACTACTAGTAAACGAAAGAAATGGTCTCTGCCAAATAAGTAAGTACTCACAACCGAAATTTGATCGTAAAAACAAATACGAAAAGATAATGAACTTTCAGTAGTCTCCTTATTCTTAGCTACTTATTCAATGATGTTGACAGATTGTAACAATTAATGAAGAATCAGCATTAACTGTTTCGAGACAAATAAATCTTACCAAGGAAAGACATCGGAATTGGAATCTTAAGCCATGTGCGATTTTTAATATCTAAGCCAGAATTTGGCATAACCATCATTTGAACAACTTTTTTCTTGTCCGTCATAGCATCTAACCGAAAATGAGCTGAAAAACAAATAAAAGTATAGATAAAAGCAAAGTAAAAAATTTTTGAAACATCAAGCAAATAAACATTTGAAGCTCGCCTTTTTAATATTATGAAACACTGCCTAAAAATATTCTTAAAGTGGAATCTGAAAGTCCTTACCTCCTCCAACAATAGTGTTCGGAACAGAACCATTCGATGTTGCAGTGCTGCTGCTTGCAGGTCGACCATACTGACCAGGTATTGGAGTTGGAGCGCCTTCAGAACCTGAAAGACTTTTTGGCAATATTCAAACTTGTTAAATGTCATGAAAGTCTAAAACCTTGAAAAGTGACAAACATCTGATATATTCGAAACAGAAATTAAAGTTTTGTATAATATTAAGTAAAAAAAAAGGAAAAACCTTCGAGGATAGATGGCATTCCTCGCATAGCATTGGTGTGCTGTATCCAGGCTTGGGTATCAATAGGTCGCACTGGTTCATCTCGATGTCGTGGAACAGTAAACGCACTTCTTGGTCCACTATCCCACATTTTAGCTACTGTTAACTTAATTGGTCTGAAAAGCAGCGTCATGTTTATGAGAAACATAGAATTAATTCTCCAACCAAAAATTGAATTCAAAAAAGATTTATTTAAAATGTCAACTTCAAGGTCATTTGCAAATACCTCCGTAAAGTTTTAATCGTGTATCACTACGTTAAAACTTGTAAACTCACCCTCGCCGTGCAACTGATTCACGCAAAACGTCAACTGCTTGATCGTTCGTGAAGTTTTCGAACGAAATATCGTTTACTTGTAAAATCATATCGCCTGGCTCAATTCGTCCATCTAATGCCACGGCACCACCTAAATGTCAATAAATATTAAAGCTGAAGTGCAATCTTACCAAAGATAAATATCCCAGAATCAAGGGACTGCCATTTTGAAAAGTCAGTTAATATTATCAAATCAATTACCTTTCATAATATTAGCCACATAAATGCCATTATCACCACGAGACGAGCTCTGTCCAACAATGCTGATACCCAAAAAGTTCACCGTATCCATATTTAGTGTTACTGTGATAACATCCAACGACATTGAGCTTTCTGTTATGCTACTAAAAGATGAGGCTCTTGAAGGTTGACGAAATCGTCGACGATTTCGGCGTTTACGATATGCAGGTGCATGATGTTGTCGAGAAACACTGGTGATGTCGGTAGATGTTGAAACTCTGAATTTTTTTCAAACTTCAAATAATTTCATTTTTGATAAACAGACAAACAAGTCAAGAGAAATCGATAACTGTTTTAATTTTTTACTAATCTAAAGAGAAAAATTGCAAATCAATGAAGTAATTTGATTCGTAATTGTATTTTACAGCTTTCATAACTAATATACATACAATTAATAGGTATATTCTCTATATAGTTTAAAAAATTGGTATAAAAAACCTAGAACGGTCGTCATCATCCGAGAATAACCGTGCGTCACTTTCAGAGCCCAACGTTGAATCTTCAAACCGTCGACCTCCACGGTGTCCTGAAATTACAAAATGAAATTCCTCAGAAAAGCATACTTGATATCATTTCGCGGTACTTAGTTAAAGGAAACTAAACTTAAACCGCAATCAGAAACTTCCAAAAAGTTGGATCACAAAAAAAGAACAGTATGTTAACTCCTACTTATAGAGATCCTGCAGTCTAATGACTCTTGAAGATGAGAATCTACCAAGTAAGAAGAAATATTAAGATGCATACCTTGCGAAATGTACTGTTGCGGAAATGGTCGCCTTGATATTCCCTTTACTTGCATTGGTAGAGCTCTCATGTCACTGATAAAAGAATCCGAATCTGTAGATGCCACTAAAAAATTTTTTTCACAATGAACAATTATAGGTCGAAAAATAATTTTTGAAAACTGAACAATCACACATTAAAAAAAAAAAAATTACTGCTCTGGTCAAATTGTTGCACAGCTTGGCGATAAGCCATACTTCCAACAGGATACATGGTTGGTGCTGGGCCCGGGACCGAAAATAACATTAATCAAAATTGAATTTTACATTACTCTTAAAAGTTGCCTTCTTTTCTATCTTCATTGGTTTATATTAAACATGCCTCCAGCTAATTACAATTTAATAAGTACTGAAATTGTTGAAATGATTACGTCGCGAACAAAAAAAAGACTTATTAAGCAAAAATTCTTTAGCTTCAACTTACCATGAGTCGCGCACTTTTCAGTGGAAGGCCTGAAGAACCATCAGAATGACTGCTACCTTCTGATGTAAGCAAAAAGAGCTCAAACTGACCATTCGCCGACCGATGTAAACATTCATTGTCATCACGTATCTCCACTTTCACTTCACTAAATAGTTTTTTTCATTTCACATCTTATACTATTTCTTAAAATGACTTCAAATTTGAATTTGTAATTACCGATCGCTTAAACTGAAAATATTGTACAGCTATTAATAATTCTACTGAACATTAAAGACTTTAAAAGATAAAATTTCAAGTCTTAACTAAATGGCAAACAGCTTGCCATTATCACAAATTACTTTTAAATAAAGCAGGAAAAATATTTGAACTTACGGAAAAACTCCAGAATCGGGAGCAGGAGCTTTACAGTAATATTTGAAATTTGATCGTGTTAACACACGTTTAAAGTCACCAAGTGTTATTTTATCGGGCGGCACCATGACATCAGTACAATATGGCACCATTTCGTCATCGATATGATAATATACCTGAAACGTTGATAAGTCTAAGGTAATTCATATCTGTTCTTGGTGAGGCAGGCCTCTTTTTCTAAAACACTTGGGGATGGTAGTGAAATAACTATTTCATTAGCTAGGGCTCATTACAATTTAAGGAACTTGAAAAGGAATTTTACTAATACTAGTGTAAAGATTTCTATGAAATTAAACTTGAAAAGTTATCACAATAAGAAATGATAAGAAATATAGAAGCAAAATATATTCCCAGAAACATGTAGGAAGATGATGAGCATTACGAAAGACTAGACGAATTAAAATGGAACGGAACTAGAGCAAAATATAGCGAGTAGAACCAATGCAAAGAATGAATAATAGCCTTAAAGCTTCATGATAATTACTCCCGAATCCACTAGGGGTCTCATATGAATGTGGAAGTATAAATATAATATAAGAAAACATAACCATACTTTTGTACTTGTCTGCTGTGAAGGAACTCCTATTCCATGTTCCAAACATGAAGTACCTTTGGCAAGTGGTGCCTTCGAGGTACATGAACTGTTTTTACTGCTTTCATCTTTACTTTCTACTGCTGAACTAATTTTCAACCTAAAAATATTTCGCATTAAAAATATGTTTCTGTAAATATTTGGCATTATCAAGAATAAATTTATCATCGCATCTTCCAAAAAATCAATATCTTAACTCTTTGGAATGCAATCTTTACAAGTTTCTGAACGAATTCTTGGATAAGTGAAACATTTTCTGTTTATTAATTGCATACTTGTAACCAAAACAACTAATGAAATCATTTCTACAACTAGTTAGAATTGAAACCATTACTTATTTGTTTTCTCGATAATCGTATCCGTTGTATTCGACGTATCAAGCGTATCTGAGACATCCATTCTCAGGCAGTACAAACTGCCGTCGGAGTGGAAAGCTTCGCTGAAGCAACGAGTTAAGACATACTAATATTTTAGCAGCAATTTAAAACCTTTTAAATTTCGCAAATGTTCTCAAACAAATCTAATTTCACTGAAATGCAGAAGTCAACTGATGCCGAAATATGTATAATCTATGTATTTTCTAATTCATTGCAATATTTATAAGATAGAACATCAATTTTAACATCATACAGCAAAATGTATAAAGTTCATTTATACAAGCACATTCGGTCATTCCGGTGAAATTTGTCTATTTGAGAAGTGTAGCAGTCCGGTAATTCAGTTAAATATTCCGGTCATTCGATATAGTACATTATCAGTTAATTGATTTCCTCTTCCACTAGCAAATTTTAACCATTTTTATGCATAGCAAATAATATATACTTAATTAGGAACATATAAATGATTAATATGTTAGTATTAAATATTATATATATCTATAAAGAATCAAACTAGAAAATATCCAAATTCTAAAGGAAAAAAAAAGAACAAAAAACAAAAGAAAGAAATCATTGATAACACAATAAGGGATTGATTTTTGGCTATTAGTAGCAGAACCTGCTCGATAAATTTCAATTATGGTAGTTTGATAAGCATAATTTGAAAAAAGGGAGATTAGAAGATGTTAGCATTGATAGTGTAATTTCAGAGGGGAACAGAGAGGAATGGTGAATGATAGAGTGATAGCGAATATGAATGGAGAATGTGAGTAGCAGAGATTGATAAGATTTATGAGAGAGCATTAGGAAAAGAGATGATTTGGTGATGAAAATGTCAAAGTTATTATTTTAGGATTCTCTCTGATACTTTTGATATTTTCAGAAATAATGTGAAGATTTGTTGTACGAGATAAGTGAAGAGAGAATTAATTAGCACTACTCTTTCCTAAATTTCAATGCTATGTTAAAATAATAAAAAATTTTTGTGCTTACATTATGCTTGAAATCGATTAATTCTCTGTCAGTTATTTAACCATTCGAAAATTTAATAATTTTGGTTTAACATAGCTTCGTTTTGTCTTTTTTTTTTTATAGACAATGCCATTATCACGGAAAAAAGCACATGAATTGGCTTGTGTTGTTGTGGAGAAAACAGTTATCACAGATACTCTCAAACACCGATTTGTCATTGAAAAAGAATTTGCACGCGGTGGTTTTGGTCGCATTTACTCCGGAAGACAAGTAGTTTTTAAGATTTGAAATAAGCTTTGAATATGAGTTAGAAATAGAAATTCACTATTGTGCATGTGTATGTATCTTGCACAAGACACTGATAAAATTTACTTATAGAATTATTGTTACGATTTTTTATTATCTGTCTTACCAAATATTCGGTCTGCTATTAAAGAATAGAAATATACTCAAAATTTATTTTCCAATTATAATTTCGTATTTCTCTATCTTTTAGATATTTTATATTCCTGAACATATCTTCTAAATGTTTTATTTTCTGAATTGTTTTATATTCAGATCCACTAATATGAATATTTTTCTTTTTATATGTTCAGCATATGATTTTCTTCGATTCGTCATCTTTATGCTATCTCTTTTTATGCACTCTTCCGACAAAATAAATTTCAGGAAGATAGTAAAGAATATGACAAGGCTGGTTCACTTGCGATCAAAATTGAACCGCATGCAAATGGTCCACTTTTCACAGAAATAACAGTCTTTCAACGAATCCTAACACCGCAAAAGCTTGCAACTTGGTTGGATAAGAAAAGTTTGTTTAATTGACTTCTCGACTTTAATTTTACGAAATTATAAGCATGTTTCAGATAATTAAAAAAAGTCACCCATATTCTATTCTAATTATGTATATATGTTTTATTTTCATTTGAAGATTTTTTGCAGAAATCAACCATATTGGTTTACCTCCATACGTGAGTAGCGGTTTATTTACATATAATGGTGAGAAGTTACGATTTCTGATTATGCCACGCTATGAGAAATCTCTGGAAACATATCGTATAGCAAATGGTGGTATTTTGGACATGGATTTAATATTGACTGTTGCGAAACAATGTGTCGATTGCTTATCATACATGCAGGACCACGTTGGTGTTCCGTCTTCACAGTCCCAAATGCATCAGTTCCAGTAGATTGTAATAAATAATTTCCTTCCATAACCGTTTTCTAAAGAGAAGACTTTTCTAACTTGAAATGGAAATCACAATTATCAAAGTTTCGGTCTTTTGGCTTTCTGGCAGATTGGTAGCTATTCAGGATTACGTGCATGGTGATCTAAAGGCAGACAACATTTTGTTGGCATCAGCAAACGAATATTCCAGATGTTTTTTGGTCGATTTTGGACTTGCAAGGTTGGCCAAAGGGAATGTCGACAAACCGGATAAAAAAAGGGGTACAATCTGTATTTTTGGATATGATTCTGAAATGAGGAATTGTTCAGTTTTAGTAATGCTTTATTTTAGCAAACTATTGTATATTTTTCAGCTCATAACGGAACTTTGTTGTTTACTTCATTGGATGCTCATCGTGGTTGTTCTCCTTCATTTCGAGGTGACTTGGAAATACTTGGATACAACATACTTTACTGGTTGTGTGGAACGTTACCTTGGCAGAAATATGGGCAAAAACCAGAATCAGTAATTCTTTGTTTGATAATTTTGTAATGTCAATTTAAAAGTTCAGAAGCAACTTGTAAAATTTATGATCAAAGCTTTGAATATTTTTTCGCGGCTTGCCAAAATTTTTGATAGTTTTCTCATCTTCTCTGCTTATCATACAGTCGTTTTATTTTTGGTTTAATACAGGAAATCTAAAGTGAAGAATTTAGAAAAACTGTATGCAGCGTTCATTACCTTCTCAGTTGTAGTCAGAATAACGTGATAGCAACTAGGTAGTTGGTGGCGCTATTCGATGATGTTTGAACGAGATATGATTTGATTTTGTTGCGACTAAAAAAAGTTGAATTTACAATGGATAAAGCTTGAATATAATTTCTTTTTCTTAAGGTTATGACAGAAAAAGAAAAGTTTTCAAAGGAATTCGATGAAAATATCAAGAAGCTTATGCAAGGTGAATATGTGCCTTTTCTGAGCAAGCTTTTTAAGCTGGCTTATGAAACGCCGTATGTGAACAAAGTGGATTATGGAAGTGTTCAATTGGTAGATCTTTTTTTTAAAGGGCATTTGCGGCTGGTATAGCAAATACATGGAAAACAGATTAGAACAAGTCACCTTTTCCGATGAATTTTACTATTTTTCAGATTTTGAATCAAATGTCATCGACATCTAAAAATTTGAATTCAAGAAGCAGAAGGAAGGGAAACTCAAAAACATCGCTGACTGATAAAGCTGTGAGTGCGAGAAACATTTCACCATCGACTGTTCGTAAGCGTGAGGGGAATACAAAAGATCTAGGTATGGTTTTAAAAATTAAGAAGTTTTGAAGAATATTGCTGCTGAGTGTTCTTCAGGTCGCTTTAGCATATGTGTGAAGTGAATCAATCTCAGTTAGCATGCCTGTTACCTTCTTAATTAGATCAAATTGTTATTTTTTTTTCTTTTTTTTTTACATAATTCCTGCAATAAAGCTACCTTACTGTTCACTTACTGTTTTCAGCTATAAAGTTCACTTGCTATTTTTGACCTATTTCCTCAAAAAATGCTTTTCAAGGAGTCATGACATTTTTTATTATTATATTTGTCCTGGGTATTTTCTTTTCATTCGGTGGTTATTAATGGGACCATTGTTTAATGAAGGAAATCAAATCTTTTGTATTCGCAAAATTATTCACAAAAACAGTTTTAATTCTTAAATTAAGAAGAACTGCCATCAGTCTTGAACATAATGTGGCTATTTTTCAACTTTTCTTTTTTAATTTTGCATATCATGTTATGCACTCAATTATTATCAGTTATAATTTATTTGTCTAATTCTAATTTTCCTATACACACTTTTAACAGCTTGTATATATCAATTATTTGCCAAAAAGGTATGTCTTAGATAGTAGTACGTCATCCAGCAAACCACCTACTCCAAAGAGACGGAAAAGTGACCGAATCGCAAACCAGTTGTCAAAAAAAGTGGTCGATTCTCCAAGATCTGACGAAGAGAAGTCTCCAGAAGTTGGTGGCAGCAATGGTAACAAGAAAAAAGACATTAAACATTCACTCAATGTCATATCTCATAAAAAAAACTTTACTAAACTAAATCGAGGACATCGAAATGGCGTGAAGTCAGCAGCTAAACAAAATGCACCTTTATCGCCAGCATTATTGCTTTCTAGCAAAAGTGAGTGATTTAATTTTTCGTGAAAATTAGGAGGGAAGCTGGGTAAATGACTGAGTATTTTCAAGTCATTTTCTAAGACAGGACAGAAGAACACAGCTGCATCTGGCACGCATGATCATTCACAGTATTTGAAGTGTCATCAAATTTGCTCTTCACACCACATCCATTTCTGTTTATTCTGGCACAACTGATTTCACATTCACGTTTTCTGATTTTTTATGCACGGCGTGGTTGCTTGCGTATTTTAAAACAGCACCAGAAATATCCGAAGATTTGAATAATAATTTGTGAGTGCACAAGAAGAGAAACGAATGTAGAAAATTGAGGGTAGAACACTAAATAAAAGAATAAATCGTAGAATTTTCAGAAGTGGAAGATTCTCCTGGTAAGAAACTACGTAATGTAATTCCGGGTCTTCACAATATGAAGACCGTGCGACAGTCTTTGAAAGATACACTTGTGAAGAAATATATCAATGTTGCTAATCAGGCTAACAGAAAGCAATAAATCTAGTGTGATTCGTTTTTTATCTAGATCTTAAAAATTGCAACCTTTTTTGAGTGAATATATTCTTTTAAACGGATAAGTTTCAAAAAACGAATAAGTTTTCACACACGGAAAGAGTACACAATAAAGAAAGTTCATGAGTTACGACGTTATTCTGTATTTTTCAATTTTTCGACTTTTTAGCAATAAAAGATAAAAAAAAAAAAAAGTGAAATTTCTGATATTAACATGTTAGGAATAGGTTTTATGATTGACCAATATATTGTAATTTCTTAACATTTTGTCACAGTTTTTTAAGTTTATAATACTCGTACTTTTAGCTCATATTTGGAAGTATTACTTCACATAGTATATATCCTTATCTTATTGAATAGTTGTATTTGGTGCTATTTAGCCATTTTATTGCAACCTACTATGAGTGTATTCTTTCGTAAAATTCATATTGGTTGCTAGGATAGCAGATGTAAAATATAAGCAAAAAATGAAACGTTATTTACATTCCATGCATTAACGTACGTTTCATTTCTGTGCTATATAATTACTTTTTTTTTTTTCTTTGTCTTTTTTGTATTTGACCTCTACTGGTCATAATGCATGCATTGGAAATTTTCATTCCTTTTGATAGTGAACCGTTGAAATAGTACTATTTCCTTTACCTTTGTATGCTAAGGTGTTCTGGTGTTTAAAATAAATGAGTTTTTGGGTTATTTGTTGCAATTGTATAATCTGTTAAATTAAGACATTCATCTAAGATTTCATCTTTCCTTGTAATAATTGCAAATCTTTTGAAAACAATGAGAAATTTTGGTTGAAAACAGGGAATTGTATTGTAAAATTAAATGGATATCCTCGTGAATGGATATTCTTTTATTCATTTTTAGGTCTAAGAAAAATATTTTTATTTCGATCGATTCAGTTTTTCACAATTTGCTAGAAATATTTTACATAGTTTATAGTGATGACATGTCTATAGTATTTACAAACATGACGAGAACTAACTAACTAACTCTGTTGAGCATATTACATTTATATGAAAGAAAATATTGGAAGCGGATTTATGCCTATAGCGCATTTTTTTTTTAAAACCTAATAAATATGCTTGTAAAAAATGGAAGTGTTTTTATGCATTGTAAAATTGACCTTCATAGTTGTATTATTGCAATCAATAATTTTCGTTTATTTCACGTTTTTATGCCGTGTTACGTCAGTGTAAGTTACTTGAAGTGACTTAAAACACGCGGGATCACGTATGCATTCATAATATTATTGCTAATTTAAGTGCTAACTTATATGCATCAATTAAATAGTCTGCGGAAATTGTTGTAGAGAAGAAGATAAATTTTTAAAAATTAATTATATTTCTGAGCAAGTTTGTCTTAATTTCCGGTTCTGATAAAACTCATCAATTATTTCGCTATATGCTATACAAGTTATATTTGTGTTAATTATAATATTTTTAAATCTTATAATATTGCCAAAAAAGTTATAAAGTTTATTGTGTTACTATTATTAACATCAAAGTAATTTAATGTAAAATGAAAGAAAGAAAAAAAAAGAAAAAGAAAAAGAAAGAAAGAAATACATTAGTAAACTGTTAGTTGTGACACAAATGATGTCCGATGAAAATTATTTTATAAAATTTTCACTCAAAAATGACATCATTTCTGTATGTGAAACTATATTTTTCAGTGTTCATTTTAACATGATATCATACTTTGTTCATTAAAATTGCTCTACTTTTTAATAATTTTATAGTTAAAATTTTACTCGAAACATATAACATTTTTATTTTAGACGATTTGTATAATTTTAATGCTAATCATTTTGCATATGAAAAATCAACATTTCTGATTATATGTCATAGAGACAATAAACAGTTTGAATTTATATGAAATATTTTTGAAATTATAACTAACTCTTAGCAAATTTTTTTTCCCCCCCTCCCCCTCCCTTTCCCAAAAAAAAAAAAAAATTCAATACAAATGGAATAATTGAATATCAATTTTTTGTAGCTAATTGAAAATCTTTTCGTTCGGCTCAATTCTACTTCATTTTCAATTCTATCATCACTAACATCCTCTACAGGTATTTTATTTCGCAAAGATATTTTTTTTTTGCACTCTGTCAACTTCTTAAATTTCCCAATTATTTATATCGAAGATTAAAAAATTTTCGAAAAAAAGAAAAGGTTAAAAGTATATATGAATGTTATCTAGAATTTAGGATTTATTCCATTTAATCTATCTTAGTTTAAATTAACTTTTCGTCTGTATAAATTGAAGTTCATATCAATTTAAACTTAAAAAGTTATTTTGGCAAATTTGGTATGGAAAAATGTTTTTTGTTTTGTTTGTTTGGTTCTTTTTTTTTTTTTCTTTTTGATTCTCAATTTTTTGGTGATATGTGAGAGCACGAAATGAATATAATATATGCCGATGGAAGACAGCTTTATTATCAATGAATAAAAGGGGGGTATGACGAATGAATGTCGTTAATGGATTGATTTTATTTTGTTTTTTTTTTTCTGTTTTTTTTTTTTTTTTTTTTTTGCTCTTTTTTGTTGTGAGATTTTAGGCCCAGAAGGTAACAAGGTAGAATATTCATAGTTTATGATGAATATTTGCATAAATAATCACTAAATTGAGATGGATAACTTGCCATTACTTTTATTTTTCTTTTACTAAAATTTTGATGTAAATTTAAATGATGTTATATACTTTTTTAGGATCAAACATCAGTATTTAATCAAATTTAGTTAGTATGATAATTTAAATAAATTTTTAAGTGTCAAAAAAAAAAAAAAAAAAACAGGCCTATATGGCTGATAAAGCTTCCTTGGAGTTATTTTGTCTAGAACTATTGCTTCCTCGGATCGATTGAATGTGAAATTGATTTGAAATTATAATCAAAGAAGTGATACCTGATAAATACTTTTGAAATGAACACAGGAAATTGTAAAGTATCATTTCTATGAAAGAAAAAAATATTCTATTATTGTTAAGGTGATAAATTTTGATAAGAATTTCACAATGAAGCTTAAAGTTTATCATACTTGACAAAATGTTCAAACACATTTCATTTCATTTCCATATAAAGATCATTATTATTTCAGCTAATGGAATAATAGTGATTATATATTTGAAAAATTTTATTCATTTCTATCCTTCTTTCTCTTTTTTTTTTTTTTTTTTTCGGGAAAATAATTTTAGAAAATTTAATCATTGCTGTTTGCTTTTTGTTTGCGATTCGGTAGCAAAACAACATTTTAGATACATTTAGATAAAGGTAAGTCTTAGTTTTAAAATAATTTATGTAGTTGAAATTTTAGAAAAGATAGATCATTTTTTTCGTTTTTTAATTTGCTGCAAATATATGTGAAACAATCGTAAGATAGCATAATTATTGTCATATGTCACAGAAAAAAAAAAAAAAAAAAGTTGACAATGGTGACAGGAATGGAGAGAAAGGGAGATATTATTGGGATAAATGCGTGAAAAGGAGGTGATGATGCGTGAAAAAGATGACGGAGAAGTAAGTAGGAGAGAAAATAAGTGAATGTGAATAATTTTTAAAAATGTATCAAAAAAATGGAAATGATGAATGATTGTTAGCGCTTGGCAACCATCAAATACTGTTACTAAAAAGGTATCATTGTATTCATTTTAAAGAAAAGAAAAGAAAACGTCGCCATCATTGTCTCTTTCATCCATTTAAAAAAAAAAAAAAAAATTTACATTTATTGGTTCTTTCAGAAGAAAATATACATTTGAAAATTCATTTCTATCATTGATGGTAAAGGATGTGATAAAAGAAAACTTCATGATGATATAAGGCGGAAAAATCACAAAATTAATTTTGAAAATTTTGCAAAAAAACTTTTCCAAAAATAACTTATCATTTATCATAGCTGTATAAATCATTATAATCATAAATTCGTTTATCACTAAAATTTAAATATATATGTGATTAGTTTTAATCTCAATTTTTTTTTTTTTTTTGAATTTAAAGAGAGAAAAAACAAGTAGTATTCTTAGCATACTATTATTTTACTATTTAAAAACTTCAAAATATCTCACGTAACTACGAATTGAAAAGACAATTACGCTTAAATATTAGCCCTCCTCTATTTTTATTATTTAATATCGCAAAAAAGTTTCGCTATCATTTGGACAAAAAGATAAAAAATTAAAAAAAAAAAAAAAATGCTTATAAAAAAAATTTTGCAGTTCGCAATATTGGATTGTTTGAATTGAAAGGATAGATCAGGAAATACGGAATGATATTAATGCTATGTTCCCACTGACAATCAGTGGTACTGATCATTGCGATGATAAAAAAAAAGTGATAATCCTGATTCATTCAGGTAAAATTTCAATAGCTTCAAAACTCAATGTATCTGTGAAATTTTTTTTTTTTTTTTGTTTAATTGAGAGGAAAATTTTCAAATTTAATTTTCGTTAATTTGTATTTTTTGTAAAAATTAACAAAAATATAATTCGAAATCTTATATCATGTCGAATGATTACAGTTTAAAACAAAGCAAAAAATATTTTTAGCTTCTATATCATATCGTATTTTCTATCAAATTAGATCAAATCAATGAACTTATCTTTGAATATATATATATAAACAAATTGAGCTATCACTTTTTTTTTTTTTAATTTTAAGATCTCATCTAACAATTTAATGTTTTATAAAATTTCAATCTGTCTATCATTTTGAAAAATTACTTTTTATGATCAGCGGAATAAGATTCAGCTTTATAGAATAGACAACTGCGCCAAGATTACTGTGTAAACAGAACGTAAAAAAAAACTGTGAATAGTGGCATTAGCCAACGAAAAATTGACTCTTTATCACTAATGCAAGAATATAACAAATAAAAGAAGTTTTAAATTTTTAATAAACGAATAAATTCAATTACTTTCACTGATAATTTAAGCAAATACGATACGAGCAAAATGGATTTTATCAATCGAATCGATGCATTTCGTATTATCTGCGCTAAATTATTTGCTAATGTTTTGAAACTTTCAATCAAACATTTTCAACCAATTCATTCAATTATCATTTTAATCGACTGTTAAATCTAGTCGAATTTGACAGGAGGACAGCAAAAGATGTAAGTTTAAGATTTCATCCACAAATATGCATAAGGAAGGTAAAGTAAGATAAGGTAAGATAAGATAAGGTAAGGTAAATAATAACTAATTGTTGGTTTTATATGATCCAAATGCAGTAACATCGATTAAAATGTTGATTGGAAATACAATGAAAGCAGCAAAATGATAAGTGACTATAACCATTTGCATTGAGAATGTGACAAAGGTCAATGAATCGAATACCTGGAAATTTGTCATATCAGTCTTTTGATGATTTTGATAAGATGATAATGGCAATTGAATTCGATTGCACGGAGAGGGATAAGGTTGCATAATGTTAAGATAATCAGTGATGATAAGATGTGAAGAGTGGAGTATGATGGGATGTGATTTAGGAACAGTAAGTATAGATGATGATGATGATGAGATTAAGAATAAAGTGATATGTTACTTTAGTAGTAGGTATATTAAATGTTAAAAGCGCCTCATTTCTCTTCCTCTTAGACATTACCGCCATTTTCATTAGCCAAACTGACAGATTCTCTTCTAATATATCCAATTAAAGTGGGCGCAGATGAAACAATGACAGGTTAATGCTAAAGATGTCACATAAACATGGATTAGTAGAACTGACCAGACAGGTGGTACCACGGGTCACTGCCGGTCAATTCCATCGCTGTTGGTAATGAATATTTTTAAGGTAGTCATGAACCACTTGGAAAATTGAGATGGGAGGTGGGGCAGGCGACGGTGTGCACACACACACACACACACATACATACACATACACACACACATACACATACAGACACGCGCACACACATACCGGAGATTGTCGGTAGTGTGTGAGTGGGCGTAGACGTAGGTGTAGCCCCGCCTCGCCACACTCCGCCCTATGAGATTGCAAGCGTTACAGGAATTCTTCATGCTCATTCCACGCATTCCACCCGTGTCTGTTCAGCAGTGTCGTGTCCCGTCGAGATTGCTTTTTCGGAAGGTTCGTTCTCGAGCCTACGGCGCTCGCTCGTTCCTCTCGCGACGTAACTGCGAAAGGTTCCGCGCCCCACTTTATTACTACCATTGCTACTGCTACTGCTACTGACTACAACTGTTCTTCCCACGATAACGGTACATAGTGTTGACGAGAGCGCCAGCGTCGTCATCGGCTTTGAAGCGGAAAGATTTGCGTTGCAGGCGGTAAAGAACAGTGTTATTGCTGAATGTGAAGGTTGGTGTATGTATTCCATTCTTTTGTCACTTCAATCCAATCATTCACATACACATGCACATACGAACAGTTTGAAAGAAATTCTCGAGAATAGCAATTCAGTATACTGATGGACAAACGAGTTCTTGTTTGTTTATTTATTTTCACGAAGATGTTTTGCATCATCAATTGGAAAAGTTTCATTTCAAGTTTCAAGTTGATTCATTTCTTTAATGCTCTTAAATGGATATATTAAAAGAATGCAATGCTTCGAGTAAATAAATAAATAAATACATAATCAAAATGAGATTATAAGATATTACTAGATTTAAATTTGCTTACTCAAAATGTTTACATCTACTTCATGGTCCCTTTCTTCTGTTCATCTTTTCAGAAGAAAATCTTTATTTTGAACTTTCTCAAAATATCTCGAGAATGATGTCTTACCTGATAGATCAGGATGTACTTCTGGAAGTGCCTCTCTCTATCGATATATTGTTTATCCGTACTTCCTGATGTATGTGTGTATGTATGTATGTGTGTGTGTGTGTGTCCTTTTATTTGCTTCTGATCAGCACAACAGTGATTGTTAAGTTGTTGTAATAATGGAAGAGTAATTGATGTTGGTAAGAAAGTGTCAGCCGACATTAGCTTCGGAAATGCTTTGGTTCAGGATGTGGTTCGTAATAAGCAATTGTTGTTTAAAAGAAACACATCAAATTGCACTGAAGCGCCCCTGTATTATTCACTACTGATAAGAAGGATGCACAGTTGCGCTTTTGCTTGTGTGTCGAACTTGAAATAGTGCTTTTGCAGGCAGTGATATTTCATACATTGCATTCAGTCAGTCATTTTTTAGCATCACAAGATGACATATTTGTATTGAGATGTGTTCCGATAAGGTGAATAAATGCTTCAAATGACTTATCACTGATTATTTTATCAATTTTAAAGACATGCCAAGAGCAATGTTGTCTCCATTCTGATTTATCATCTTGTTACTATTTAAAATGTTCTTTTATCATCTCCTTCATCCCTCAATACATGTATGCTTTCCATTTCATGCTGACATGACCTTTCTGAGAGTGAGAGATGCTGTCAACTTGACATGTCAACTTAATGACATTAAGCTATTAATGATCATTTGATATAAGCTAATCAAACAATTCTCACAGTAAGCATTTTATCATTGCAATAATTAATAATTAATTCACACATTTTTCTCATTTTCGAAATTTGCAACATTCATCCAATGAAAGTGAATGATAAAATTTCTTCTCAAAAGTACTCAAAGAGTTAAAAAGTACCAAAGTTTTTTATCACTTAACTTTAATTTACTAATGAATATTTCAAAAAAAAAAAAACATTCATTACTGTATTTTTCTTCATTTCTCTTCCATTATTGGACACTGAATCATTTGTTATCTTTACAATTACAATTACAATTACAGTGTATTTCAAATGAAGTAAGTGAAGCAATATTTGTTTTTTCATTATCACAAATTAAGATGAACTGTTTGTCATTATCATAAATTTCTGATAACGATGACAATTCTTTTCTTTTCTTTTGATTCTCTTCATTTTTCTCCTAACATTAGATGAGAGCTCATATTTGAAGTGAAAAAAAAAAAAAAGCTCTTTGCTTCTTTTCTCTTTCAATTTCATCAGTACTTTTTTTTAAATTGTTATATTTCTTTTTTGAGAAATAAAATCTTTCTTTTTTTTTTTTTTTTTCTTAATCAATTTTGACCTTTAACGCTTCTTCATTTTAATAAACGAATTGTCATAAATTTCTACAGTATTTCCTAACAGAGAGATTACCGTATCTCTGTGTGCAGTAATTTTTTCTTTTTTTCGTTATCAAAAATACAACACACAAACATGTGATTATGATTAGTTTCCTGTTGCTGATAATATTTCCATTTGATGAGAGTTTATATATATATATATACACGTACGTACACGTACACGTACACGTAAGATATAGAGTATTTTAAAGAATGGATGAAAATTATTTTTGTCACTGTTACTATTAAAGTTGGGCTAAATTAATTAAATAAATAAAAAATGAACATTTCTTATTGTGAAAAGGATAACATAAGTGTAATTCAAACATTCTTTTTAAAAGCAAATTCAAATTTTTTAATTTCATTTAAATATTTTCATCTATTTTAGTTACAAATGAAGAAATAAAAATTTACTGAAACCGTATCCGATCCAACGATCCAATCCAATATTATTCTTCATCATCTGATCTTTGTTTCTTTTCTTCAACTTCAATCTTTTATGCTGAAAGCTTGCCTTTATCTCAACTCTACATTTATGACCTTTGTTCAGTTTAATGTAAGTAGCTTTTAAAATCTGTTACATTAAACTTGCTTCCGGTTAATAAGTATCTCGAATTTCATACCCTCATTAACTGAAATGTTTTCTTTTTTTTTTTTTTTTTTTTTTTTTTGTTCCCTTCAAATTTCTTTTCGATGACGTTAATCGGATTTTGGATCATTTGGTAAATTTACGGATAGATAGAGGAAGAGAGGTGGAGATAATTGTTGATGTGACTACTGCTGCTACTGGTGCGGAATAGGGAATGCCCTTGGACACTAAACATATGCGCACATGCGCATGCGCATACATTGGTCTGCCTGGCTATCGGATGGACATCTGCTTCGTTGCTACCCTTCAATGACCTGACCAGGACAGTCTGTCTCAGTATTCCGTCCCCATGGCACTGTCGCAATACGTTTCTTTGTCCGATTCTTTGTTGCTCTGTCGTCCACTTGTTTATTCGTTCATTCATCTGTCCATTTGTCCGTCCTTTCACCCTGTTGTACAGTCAACAGCCTCTCTACTGAAATGTCTATTCCATGTGAAACTATTAAAACATATCGTTGTACCTGTCTGTGTATGTATGCATGTATGTATGTATGTGTGTGCATGTATGTATGTGTGTTGTGTGTGTGTCTGTGTATGTTAACTATAAGGAATGTTAATATATTCACTGATCTAAAAGTGCTAACCGAACAACACACAACATTTTTTTGTATTGGTCTAAATAAGAAAAAATTTATTCAGGCGCCATTGTCCATTTAGGAATATTTATTTATACAATTGAATGAATGAATTAGTAGAGATTTAAGTGGAATATGTAAAATATAACAAAATTATTACTGCCATACATTTGATTGATAAGAAATATGGAGTAGTTTATAGGATAAGGTAGAATCTTACTTCTCACATCATTTTTACTTTCTAATTACAATGAGCGGCGCTTTTTAGTATTTCAAAAGTTTGAAATTAAATTTTTTGACAAAATGTTGAATGAAAAGTGGTAGTAGTTTGAGTTATACCATCAAAATGAAACACTAATGGTTATTTTCAGGCAGTCCATTAAGTTCTCTATTTTTGCTCAGTTTTTTTTTTTTTTTTTTTTTTTTTTTAAATGTACAAAGAAAATCTCATTTCAAATTCACATTATCAACGCACTTTTTTAGCCTATCCAAATAAACACTAAAATAACTTCCTCTTCCCCTTTTCTCTCTTGTCTCCCTAATACTTTCAATATAATAACTGCAATTATTAGCGGTAATTTCTTGATCAATGCAACAGTTAACTGCAAAATGTCATTTTTGTCCTTGTCCTACTGTCATTTTCTTTGCTTCTTCCTGTCTCTCAACCTTTTACCTTTCACCTTTTGCTCTAATCGAATTTTTATTTAACTGAAATAGTGAAAGATCTTTTTTTTTTTTTTTTTCAAGACTTCTATCTTTTTCTTTTCCTATTAATAGCAAAAATTGCAAATTGTTTTATTTTTTTAAAAAAGAAATAAAAATTTTTGAAGAATTTTAATTTCTGACGAATGAAAAGATAAAAGAGAAACGAAGAAGCGTAACCTTTTTTGGGAAGAATGATGATGACAGAGATTAAAAGGGAAACAGAGAGAGAGAGAGAATGATTGAAAGAAACAGAGAGAGAGAGAGAGAGGTAAGGAGTAGTTTGTTTCATTTCGTCTTTGGTTTAATATTTGATGATGGTGATGATGATGATGATGATGATGATGGTGATGATGATATGAATGTGATGTGATATGGTAGGATGGGATGGGATGGGTAGTTCACAAGGAACGAGTTCACAGGACAGTTCAAATTCATTTTTGTCTTCTTCCGCAGTCTCTGTCAAAGAAAACAGAAGTATCAATCAATGCAGTCCATGGACATCTTCGGGACCATCTTCCACTAAAGTTTGTATTTTTGAAGCAAACTTCTGTACGAATCTATGCATGTTTGTCTGTCTGTCGGTCTGTTTGTCTGTCAATTTAAATGTAAAATACTGAACGACTTGATCATGTATGTATACGTGCATGTGTATGTATGTATGTATGTGTGTATGTATGTATGTATGTATTGGTGTAGTAATATATATACACCTTGTCTCTTCATATACATAATAATTTTGAAACTGTTACACCTCTGAAAAGTTAAGGTGGAAGAGTATTATGAAGGGCACACACAGAACTATGATAATTTGTTATTAATTGAACTGATGGCAAAATTTGCACACTTCGCCACTGTAAACGTAACATAAGGGAACATTAAATATTGCAGCGAATGAAAAGAGTACCTTTTGTTGATTTGTAATTTATAAAATTATCATAAAAAGAGAGAGAGAGAGAGAGGGAGAGAGAGAAAAGATGGCAAGAAAAGTTTGTATTACTCATAAAATGCGTCATCATTACGAGAAAATGCTATATCAAAACATTTTTTTTTTTTTGGAGTAGTTGAAGTAAAATTAATAGAATAAGTGAAGATTTAATTTCAATCTTTTGAATTGTAATTTTTTAGTTTTTTTTTTTCCAATTGATAAAATTCTTACAATTAAGTGATAGATTGTTTTGTGGAGTTGAGAAGAAAGTATTTGAAGAGAGTATTTTGGTGGAAGAATAAAGGAATAATTAATCAATTAATTAATTAATTAACTAAACTGTATTAAAACCTGGAATTAAAACAAAGGAAGGAGGAATGAGGAAAAACGTTCATGAGACACTGAGATTTGTTGAAAAATTAGATCATAAATTTAATTTATAATTTGAAATTTACTTATATAAGCTTTAATCTTCCGTACTGAATTCTAGATTTTTTGATATTTGAGAAATAGCTGGAGTACTTAAATATATTTAAACATTATATGGTATATTTATATATGCATTTTCTCGGCGGAAGAAATCATTTTTTTGCGCAATGCAGAAGCAGTAGTATAGTCTTTTGAACAAAATTGTAAATATGATTATTGTTGAGTAAGTTAAGAGTACATACAGTCAATATTTCTCAATGTGCTATCTAAAAATTAGTTACTTAAGTTAGCATTTAAGCTAGTGTTGTAGTATAATGTGTGTGAATATTGAGTGAGCAGTGTACAGTTTTGTTTACCTAACTGCTAAATAGGTTCCATTGACCGATTTATTTGACATCCTTGTGCCGGTTCGATGATCAATCGCTGTTGAATAGTACAAAGATTTA